TGATAAACTTTCCTTTTCAAATCTTCCAGAGCTGATTCTGTGGTTCATGTGCAATAGTTTGTTTGGTTTTTGTTTGTTTGTTTGTTTGTTTAGCAGCATTTTAGCTCTAGTGCTTTTCTTAGGACAAATACTGTCAGGTTTATTTCAATATTCAAGTTTCACAGAGCACAATGGAAGACTCCATTACTGAAACTCTTTGATTCTTTCTCCTGTGTACTTAGGTGGCTGAACAGAGATCATCTTTTTTTACAGCCTGATGCTGTTTTTTGCATAAATCTTTTAACAGCATGCCATCAGAATGGCTTTCCCTGCTCTGAGGTGGTATCATAATGAACTGTGGATTTGGAAGTTAGCTTGGCAACCATGTTTCAGGCAAACTTAACCAAAAAAACAAAAACAAAAGCAAAAACAACTCTAACACCTTTGGGTTTAGAAATGGATACCTTGAAGTAAGCCCAGTTTTATTAGTAGTACGAATAACAGATATTTATATAAAATCTTAAAGTTTGCAAACAGCCCTTCAAAGGAGACACTATGGGTATTATAATCTGCTTTTTACACATAAGCAAATGTTATTCTGAACTTTGAAAACACTAACAAATATGCATAGTTACCTTTACAAAGAATAGTGCAAAGTACGGGAGACTATGAATGTCCATTATGAACAGGTTTTTTTTAAAAAATATGACATTCAGTATATTAGTTCCAAAGCTTTTCCACTTAAGTTTCTTTCTGAATTTACTTCTGTTTTGTGCACTTTAAAAAAATGCTTCACTAATGCTCTTATTTTTATGCACTATCATTTACCCTCATCTCTCCTGGCACTCACAATTGTTTGGGGGTTTTTTTTGGCTCCTTTTGGTGAGGCAGTCAGGGTTAAGTGACTTGCCCAGGGTCACACAGCTAGTGTCTGACGCTATATTTGAACTTAGGTCCTCCTGACTCCAAGACCAGAGCTCTATCCACAGTGCCACTTAGCTGCCCCTTAAAATTGGCTACCACTTACAAATTGAAAAAAAAACAAAAAGAAAACAATCCTCCCTTGCAACCAAGCAAAATAACCCCCTGTATTGGCTATGTCTGAAAATGTGTGTCTTACTAGAGGCAAGATTTGAATCCAGTTCTTTCTGACTCCAGATTCAATAAACTATCAACTATTTAAAAATGCCTCCCATTAGAAATATAGTAATGTCACATCTTGGTAATTATTTTAGGGATCTTTTGCTTCTGTTGTATTTTTCCCCCATGTTCTCTCGTCAGGACAACACAGAGTTCCTGGGTACATGAAATGTCTTTCATATTAAGTTCCAGCATTTGGTCTGAATTGACTCCTTGTCTCTCAATTGCATCCATTTTGTCTGCCCTGGAAGCTGGAGTTTTTGTTTTGATTATGCCCTGTCATTCTTTTCATCAGTTTTCTCTAAATGCTCCAGTGGTGAGGTCAGGGGTGGCTGTAATGAGAGGGAGAAATATGGGGGGGGAGATCTGCCTTTGACCTCTTTTTCATTTTCTACCCTTCTTTTTCAGGAATTTCCCTTCTCGAGAAAGGGACTCTTGGTTCTGGGTCAAGTTGAGCAAAGCTGTCACCAGCTGAGAGGTAAGATAAAGTGTCTTATAGCGCAGACACTGACAGGAAAGACACAATTTCCAGTTGTGGTACCTGTCAGTGGCCTGGGGGCACCTTGGAAAGTCAACCCACTTCTGCTGCTGCAGCATTCCCTATAACTGGGCTGTTAGTAAGCTGCTTGACTAGGCGCCCCTAGGGCTCTGTCCCTGTGGTGACTGTGATTCAAGCCAGTAACATAGCAGTCTTCTAAATCTACAGGACTCTCTCACAATCATTTAGTCAGTCAATAAGAAATTATTAAATGTTAACTGTGTCCAAGGCACTGTGGTAAGGTCTGGGGATATAAAGTAAAAAACACAGTCCCTTCTCCCTTGGAAATCAATCTAAGGTGGGAGGGGCACAATATACAACCAGCTAGGGTGTGACTGGTCAAGTCATTTAATTTTTCTTGGCCTCAGTTTCTAATCTGTAAAATGTAGGGGTTGGACTAGCTGGCCTCCCTGGTCTCTTTGAACTCTGAATGGATGATCCTGTGATCTGTGTGTGACCTTAAGCAAATCATCTAGCCTCCCTGGGCCTCAGTCTCCTTATTTTTAAAATGAAGAGGTGAGGTCTCTCCCAGCTCTGTACTGCTGTTGCTATGATCTTTCCTACCCTAGAAGAACTTCTCAGTAGATCAACATGTATTTATTCAATCAATCAATAATAACCAATGACTTTTTATCAAACACCTCCTATGTGCTAGGCATACAAGTACAAAGAATGAAGCAACTTCTACTCATGAGGAGCCTACATTCTAATAAGGGAAACCAGTGCATGTAAAAACAATATACAGAATAAGTGTCAAGTTAATACAAACTTTATCTATGCCAGTGGTTGTATATCTATATCAGTATTAGGGTTCTTACCTTTTTTATGGCATGGACCCCATTGGTGATTGGGTGAAGCCAATAGACTGCTTCCCAGAATATGTTTTTAAATGCAACATACAAGGAATTATAAAAGAAAACCAATTATGTTGAAATTGTTGTTGTTCAGTCATTTTCATTTGTGTCCAGGTCTTCATGACCTCATCTGGGGTTTTCTCGGCCAAGATACTTGAGTGGTTTGCCACTTCTCTAGCTCATTTGAAACTGAAGCAAACATGGTTAAGTGACTTTCCCAAGTCACATAACCAATAAGTATCCAAGGGGAGAACAGGGTATATTTGGGGAAGACTAGTACCTCTTGTGTGAGGGCTGTTAAGCCTTTTTCAGGGCTACATTCCATCTTTGGTGACCACCTGATTCACTCTGGCTCTAAGAAGCTGTAGCATGCACAGTGGTCACACTGTGGTAAACCATTTCAGCAGACAGGCTAAACCAGGTTAAAGGTAACAACACAGGGGTCTCAAATCCTTCAGTGAGATAGAGGAATGTATACCTCAAGCATGTGAGGATTTCCCCCAGCAAAATGGGTGGATGAAAACAGGATTCAGCAGCCCCCAGGGAGTCTGAGCAGCTTTTTTGAAGGACCACACTGTTCATCTCCTGGTGTGAAGAAGGGGCTAGAAAAGGTGCCCTAAAAATTGTCTGTTTCACCCAACACTGGCCTACTTACCACAGCAGGTGGGAATCCCACTGTGCACTCAAGACTAAAAAAATGTGCAAAAAGTTTTTTGAAGATGATTATACTCAGTATTAGTATGTGGGATGTGCACATACTTATAGACAACTAGAAATCTAGTAGACCTGAAAGATGAACAGCTCTTGGTTGCAACAGAACTCAGCAGATATTGCATCCAAATAGTAGCCCTCCATGAAACAAGGCTGGCAAATGAAGGCCAGATTACCAACCTTGGAGCTAGATAGACATTTATCCTAGAGTAGATGAAGTGATGGGGAGAGACGTGAAGCTGGCATAGATTTTACTATCAAAACTAACCTAACCAACAAACTTGCATGCCTACCAAAAGGAGTGAATAGCAGACTCATGACAATGTGATTTCCACTTGTAAAGCGCTATGCCACCATCATCAGTGCCTATGTTTCCACCATGACAAACCCTGATGATGTCAAAGAAAAATGTTATGAAGACCTGGAGACCCTCATCAAAAGAGGACAAGCTTATAATTCTTAGTGACTTTAATGCAAGAGTAGACATGTCAGGGAGTCCTTGGAAAGAATAGGGTTCAAAATAGCAATAGCAATGGTCAATTATATAAGATGTGTGCATCTCATGACCTCATCACCAACACTGTCTTCTGTTATTTAAATGCAATACAACTTTATGGATGCTGACCTCATTGTTGTATATCTATGAAACTTTTGAGAGTATACCAGGCCATGCTAGGAAAGCTTCCATTTGAATTGTCTTAGGAAGATTCTGAAGATCACCTGGCAAGAAAAGATACTGGACACTGAGGTCCCTTCTCAAGCTAAATTGCCACACATTCAAACTCTACTGCAGAGAGTGCAATTCCAATGGGTTGGCCATGATGGCTAAATGCCAAATTTATGTTTGCTTAAAAGACTACTTTATGGAGAATTCATACAAGTCAGGTGCTCACATGATGGTCAGAAGAAGCTATATACAAGGGTACTCTCTAGGTCTCTCTGAAGAACTTTGGAATGGCTTGCATGCCATAGGAGACACTGGCAAACAACTACCTAGCATGGCGTATCTACATCAAAGAAGGTACTGTGATCTATGAGTTAAGCAGAATTTTAGTAGCTCAAAAGAACATTAAATATAAAAATTTGGACATATCTCCGCTCTAGATGTTCATATGAATTATTTGTGCCCTATGGTAGAGCTTTCCCACCTCCTATTGGTCTGATCAGCCATAGCCGGTCACACTGTATCTTGACTCCAACATAGTGATGTCATTTTGTTCTTCTTCCAGAGTGAAGAAAAACCAACCAGAGTGTTTGGGGCTAAATTTAAACTCACGAAGATGAGTCTTCCTGGCATCAGGACCGGCAGTCTATCCACTTTGCCCCCTATATACTGAAATAGTTATCAAAATGTTTAAAAATAAACTTCGGGGACTAGTGGTTAAGAACCCCTGATTGATATCCATTTCTACACAGAGAGTAGTTAAATGCAAGGGAGTTTGAGGAGTCACACTAGAAGATGGGAGTACGGACCAAGGAGGACCAGCAAAGGCTTCCTCCAGTGCAGAGGCACAGTGAAGGCTAACACAGTCCTTCCAATGACCTAGCTGGTTCTCCCCAACATTTTGACTAATCAATAACTGGTGGGAAACATTTTTACCAGGAAGTACTCAGCCCCAGGACCATAACAGCAGAAGGCCACTTAAGGAGTCCAGGCTGAGATCTGGCTGTAGGCTGGTTGGTTCCCCTGTCTGCTACAAACCACAGGCTCTGCTAGGACGCTCCTGCAGACCATACGGAATACTTCACAACCAGATACATTAAGTCCATTTCTAAACCTGTTCAAAGTCTTCAGCATGGGCTTCCTCCCGGGCTCTAAGTGAACTTGCTGAGAAGCTGGAGTTCCCAACACTCAAGCTGCCCCTCCCTCCACCTGTTACTGTGGGAAGTCCAAATCCCGCCCCTTTCTGGGTCCAGCCAATCGGCAGGCCCTACGGGCGGACCACGTGCCAAGCGGGAGGCTCGATGGGGGCGGGGAGCCAGGACAGCCTCCTCAGTCGGTTGTGGAGGCGGCGGTAACGGCTACAGATGCTCAGGGAGAGCGGACTCTCCTCCGTGGGCGGTGGGCTACCGGACACATCCACGACCCCAGAGGATCTCGATGTTCGCCTGGCGAACACGCCGCTCCAGCGGTGAGTGTCGCCGGGTCGACCTTCCCCCGCTGCGGCTGTGGGGGAGGTGGAGGCGCGCCGGGAGCGGGCCCCATCCAGCCCCTTCTTCTCAGCTCCTATCCCCCAGGCTCGGGGTCCCTGGCTGAGCGAGGGTCTCGGCCGGGGGGTTAGCTGTGCGTACCTCCGCGGAATCCTTTGGGAGCTCGTCCCGGGGTGGTCGTCCTCGGCTCGGCCCCGTGCGGAGCTTCCCGGGACGGGACGGGGCAGCCGGTGCGGGACACCGCGGAGGCGACATCGGCCGCCGCTCCGGGCACAGCCGCCCGCCCTCTCCTCCCTCAGCCTCAACCTTCTGGGCCCGAGGCTGGGCGGTCTCCCTACCCCGGGAGTCTCCGGGACCCTAGGCCGGGAGTGTCTCCTGCCCGCCGCTTCTCCGGCCCTCTTTGGTCCGGGACGAGAAGTCGGGGCCCCGGCGCCCGTTGCGGGATTTGGGGTGGGGGGGATGGGGAAAAGGGACTGAGGGGCTTTGGCAGGACTCCGTCGGACAAACCTAACGGATGACTGCGGAGCCTCGTGCGCCCCTGCTTATCTTTCCTCGTGCGTTTTCTGGATGTGGAAGTGACCTGGAACCCCTGCTCCAGCCCCGGGGGCCGTCCTGTTACCTGTCCAGCCTGGGGCGGGAGCGGCTTCTGCAGCACCCCTTTCCTTCCTCCCTTTCTCTCCCTTCTCCCTCCTTTCCTCCCCTTTCTCTCCTTTCCTTACTTTTTCTTTTCTCTCCTTCCCTCCCTTTTCCTTTTTTCCCCTCCTTCCTTTCTTCCTCCTTTCTCTCTTTTACCCTTTCCTTTCTTCCTTCCTCCTCACGTCCCTTTCTTCCCATCCTTTCCTTCCCCTTTCTTTTCTCCTTGCTTCTCCCCCTCCTTTCCTCCTTTCTTCCGCTCCCCCTTCTTCCTTTCTTCTTTCCCTTTTCCGTCTCTTCCTTCCTCCTTCCTTCCTTCCTTCTCCCTTACACACCTTCCTTCCTACTTTCCTCTTTCTTCCGTTTCTCTCTCCCTCCCTTCTCCTTTCTTTCCTTCCTCTGCCCCTTCCTTTCCAACTTCTTCCCTGTCCCCCTCTTTCTGCCCACCCCCCCACCCCCGGGTCCTCCTGTTTGTGTTTCCTGAAGCCCGTTTGCTGCTCTCCCAGCTCCGCTTCCTTTCTGGGCTGCACAATGAGTTCTTTCGCAGCTTGGCGGCGGTTGTGAGTGAGGCGGGAGCCCCTGGCCGCCCACCCACCCACCGGCCCGCTTGTTAGAAATTAGAGAGATTCCGAATTAGGGGGAGTCGTGGGGCGGGGCCCAGAAACTTCCTCCCGGGAAAAACGTGAGCAGCTCCCGGGGCCCTGCCGGGAGTGGTGGGTGGCGGGGCACGGGAGAGCCCTAGTCTGCTTTGAAAATCGTTTTCGAAGAGCCGGTTTGGTCATGGTGAACTGAAAAGTCACTTTGGCGTGCCTCCTACCCTGGACCTCAACGTTCTGGGGCTGTGCATTTTGGATTATTTTATGTTTGGGAGGAAGTGGGGGGGGGAGAAAGACAGCTAGAGATGGGCCTTCCCCAAAAAGACTTTTAAGACTATCTTGCGTATCTCATGTAGTAAGAATCCCCTACCTCGTCGCAAAAATGTGCTGAAAGAGATTTCTGAAATAACAGGCACATTGTTTTCCTTGTTTTTTTTCCTGAGGAAGAAATATTGAGATGGAAGTGTAGAGATGTCGATATAGGGCCATTTTACAACTTCGGTTAAACAGTGCATTTCTTAAATTGGAAATAATTCCATCCTAAAGTGCCTGGGGTTAGGTGGGTTTTTTTTTGGGGGGGGTTGAAGGGTAGAAATACTGTGACCCAAGCCATAGCTAGACAGCTGTAGGAAAGGATCAGAGCTGAAAAGGACTTGAGACTGTCTACTTAGTTTTACTGGGGGGTGAAGGTGGGGCACTGAGGGGTTTAAGTGATTTACATAAACTGTTATACTGTTAGTATCAAAATTGGGATTTGGATCATTGGATCATAGAGCCTAGTGTAGTGTCCAGAGCACTGGATTTGGACTCTGAGGGCCTAGGTTCAAACCTTGGCTTTCTGCAACTACTCTCTGTTTGAGTGACCTTGGTTAAGTCGGTCTCTCCTGGCCCCACCATAGTTTTCTCCTCTGAGAGAGTGAGTAGGCTGGGCTGAAGTCTCTTGTAGCTTAAAATCCTACGATTGCAGTTCTATAATAAGGCATTTTTGCATCTGTACTACATTCAATCAATCAACAAACATTTAGGAAGCACTTAATTCTGTGCCCAGGTACTTTGCTAAACTGGGGCTACCAAGAAAGGCAAAAACAGTCTCAGCTCTCTAGGAGCATGAGTTCTAATGAGGGAGACAGCATGTAAATAGAGAAGTAACAGATGTTTGATTTAGAAGTTAAAATATTACAGAAAAGGCAGTAGTAATATTTTGGTTAGCTATGGGGGATAGGGGTTGAAAAGGGTTCCATTCAAATTTGGGGAGAGTTGCACAAATATTTTTTGTTATCTGCACAGTTCAAGCTGTGAAAGTGCTGGCTACCATTTCTGTATTTTTTTTTAGGCAATTGGGGTTAAGTGACTTGCCCAGGGTCACACAGCTAGTAAGTGTCAAGTGTTTGGTCTGAGGCTGGATTTGAACTCAGGTCCTCCTGACTTCAGGGCCGGTGCTCTATCCACTGCGCCACCTACCTGCCCCCATTTCTGTATTTTTTAATAGAATTTTATGTAATTTATATAATTTACAAATACTTTGAAGTGATAGAAGAGTCAGAATAAAATTATGTACCGGTTTAACGTGGAAATATTTTTATAATTGTAATTTCCTGTGGAAACTCAATTTTCAGTTAAGAAACTGCACCGGTATGAATATTCATATAGAAAAGTATATCAAGTCCCAAGTTTTTCAGTCTTCATCTTAGTTTGCTGTTAAGGCCAGGTGCCAGGAGAAAGCTGGATTGAAGACCATATCTGACATTAGTAACAGTGACCCTAGTGAGTAAGTCCTGCTCTGCGCCAGGTGTTATCCTAAGCCCAAGGGATAGAAAGAGAAAAATGAAATGGTCCCTGCCCTCAAGGAGATTCTATTCTAATGGGGGAGACAACCTATACATATATGAGTATTTATAGGATATGGACAGAATGAATCCAAGGTAGTTTAGGGAAGGAGGGCACTACCATTGAGGGCATCAGAAAAGACCTCATGTCGAAGGTGGCACTTGAGCAGAGCTTTGAAGGAAGGCAGGGCTTTCAAGAGGTGGAGGTAAGGTGGGAGCATATTTCAGGCCTGGGGAACAGGCAGTGCAAAAGCACCAGAAATGGAGGGCTGTTTGAGCAACAATCAGAAGGTCATCTTGGCTTGGAGTAGAGGAGTGACATGGTAGACCTGAGCTTTAGGAAAATCACTTTGGTGGCTGTGTGGAAGATGGATTAGAGTGAGGAGAGAGTTGAGGCAGAAGGACCAAAGAGGAGGTGAGAGGTGATGAGAACTTGACCTAGAGTGGTGAGAAGGGGAGGTTAGGCCATAGAGATGTGATAGGAACAAGATTTGGCAACTGATGGAGTTACATAGGGTGGAGGAAAGAGGATTAGGTCCAATTCCCTTTTCAGTTTGGGGTCTGTGTTGTATTATCTACATCAGAGTGAGAAATAGCTTTCATGAGCATATCTCTCCCAGTTTTATTCCTTGCCCAATGTTTATTATCTGGGAGCCTTTAAATAGCATTATTTTCTTTCAAGGAACTTTCAGTCATTTTGATGAATGAATGGTAAAACTTCCTTACTTAGAACTGTGCTAAATGCTGGAGATAAAAATACAGACAAGGCAGGCAATCCTGTACTCGAGGAGTTTACCTTTTAATGGAGGGAAGCCAACCCATAAAGAGAGCCTAAAAGCTGAGAGTAGGATTTGAGTATTCCTAGTTTAGAAATGGCTAGCAAGTGACTGAACTGGTAAACAGCCCAGCATCATAGCTCTAGAATGAGAATGAGGATGATGGCCAATGCTACAATGGCCTTGGTTCAGGTAGAGATCAATAGAAAGATGTTGTACACAAAAGGAAAGTTTGCGTAGAGATCCATTGTTATTACTGTGCTCTCAGTTGCCTTTTTTGGATATTAATAAAGCGTGAGATTTTTCTCATGTTTTTGGTACCTTCTTTTTCAGCCACTTTGTATATATCAGTCCCTCAACACCCTCAAACTTGTGTTGCCTCTAGCATGAATCTCTTGTCTGTTTACTGGTCCAACTCTGGTTGCTTTTCTCATTTTTGTTCTCTTTAGGGGCATTTCTGTTTCCCAGTAAGCATATCCGAGATTGTTATCCTGTGGTCTAAGTGTGAGAGTTAATAATGATTTTGATGGAGAAAACTATTTTAAGCAAATTAATGCTCCCATAAAATTTAGATAAATTTCATTGGAACAATTTTGCATGATTTTCATTTTATAATATAGATCCAAAATAAAGACTCTTCATTTTGGAAAGATGAAATCTGAAGGGAGGAATGTGATATATTTTTTATTTGGGCAACATGGGGTGAACATGGATACACTCACCAATTTAGGCAATAGCAGATTTAAGGGCATTCCTTGGCTCTAAAGGGGGTAAACTTTGGGATAAACACATTTTACTGTAGATAAACTTAGAAAACTTTCTATCCCCCCGAAGTTGTATAGGCTAAAGATAAAAATGTTTAAGAGCAATTTAAACAAATTGATTACTTACAGATAGATA